CATTTCCTCCTTGCACGATCTCCTCCATGTCACCCTCACCTCGGACGCCAAACTCGCCTTTTCCCATTTACGTTCCACTCCAGGGTCTGATGTGTGATGTCCCCTGTCAAGCTTCGCAGTGTATGCCCAATCCATCTCCACTTCCTTCCAGTGCATATTTGTTGGATGATAGGCTCTTACTGCGTTGTTTCATTTCGAGCCAGAGTTCCTTGTCGCTTATTCTTATTATTCTGGCCATATGACCCTCACTAACGAGCCAGCATAGGGGGCACTTGTTGATGAATGTCTGTAGTTTATTGGAAATCCCTTTCGTAACGCACCAAGTCTCTCAACCATCACACAGAAGAACTGACTCGACTCACATTGGTGTTGAAAATCTGCATCTTGTTCCACATGCTGAGTGTGGTGCATTGGATCTCCACACTGGTTTCAGGCTGATGAACGCCTCTCTTGCTTTTCCGATTCTGACTTTGACATCCTGGTCTGTGCCTGTGCCACCTGTAGTTGAAATAGTGCTGCCCTGTCTAGATAGGTGAAAGAGGCTACTTCCCTTGAATTTCGCCCGTTCATGGTGATTGGTGTTTGTTATTATCGTTGTTGTTGATGCTGTTGTTGGTTGGGTATCTTCATCACCTCTGTCTTTTCTACGTTCACTTGAAGAAAGTCCCGCTTTTTCTGCTCTGCCTCTTATGTTAACTTGTTAGTTTTCGCCTACAGATCTTCCAGTTTGTCAGACATTAAACATAAATTGTCACCGGCGAAATCCAAATCGTCTAGGTTCTTTTCTGCGGTCCAGCATATCCCCCTCTTCTCGCTTCCGACTGTTTGTTGCATGCTCCAGTCAACCACAATCAAGAATACCGTGGGTGATGGTAGGCGGCAGCCTTGTCTTACTCCTCCCTATCTTCACTTCAAAGGCATCATTGAGCTGAGCTTCCCATTGTGAATTACTTGGCATGTGGTGTCTTCATATAGTTGTTGAATGAGGTTGATAAAGGTGTGTGGTATTCGTAGTGTTGAAGCAGTTTCCAAATTTCTTGTCGGTCGACGCTGTCAAATGAAGGCCTTCTCAAAGTGGATGAAGTTGAGGTGAGGTAGAGTTGAGTTGACTGCCATTCTATACTCTGTTCTATGATGATGTGTAGTGTAGCGTTGCAATTCACTCTGCACATGATTTGTACTTCCTGAATCCAGTCAGCCTGTTGCTGTCGTAGTTTTGAATCCCGTGCATCCTTTAGTCTCTTCAGGATACCAACAAGTAGTTTTTTATGTGTCAAACGTGTATTCTTTCAAAATTACTGAATAAAACATTTGGTATTTTACTGTTGACTAGGAATAGGTGCTGAATATATGCCTGGTGAAAAAATTCTGATGGCTTGTTGAACCTCAATCTCTCTTTTATTTCCTTTGCATTACTTCTTTGGTTTAGCTTACATTTATGTTATTGCTACTGTGTCAATAATGAGGGTGAAGGGAAAACCATGGGTTCTGGTAGTGTTTGAACCAGATTCTTCTAGTTTGTTTGACCTGGTGTCTTATCAACTGAAATGCCAGAGTAAGCTGCTGTGTTAACTTCGCTGCCATCACTGAAAGTTCCAGTCAGTTGTTATATTCGTTCTGTTTGAAAAACTTTGAGCAAGAGTTTTGCGTAAAGCATGATAAGCTGGTCTTCTTGCAGAAATATCATCAGCACCCTAGGTTTTCTTTCTTTTCTAGTTACTAGTTTGTTTGATTTATAAAAGAATTTTCTATTCTATTAAAACTTTCCTAAATGATTCAAAAAGGTTTTTTACGATTTCCAACTTGTCCAGACTATGGGGATATTCAAACAGACAAGAGAAAGTTACATAGGTTAGCACAGAACTATAACAGCTCGATTTGGCATTCTTTTCAATGATACTGAAAAAGTAACTAGTGAATATACAAACTTATCAAAAGTTGTTTTGCTAACTGGAAACCCATCCATGGTATTAATTACGCCTATAAGACATCCCACCGCATATCATTTGGTTGAGAAATATGAAAACAGAAAACCAGATTCCTGCAATATCCCAGCTGTCATGAAAGTTTCAAGTTATTCCAATCTCAGTGACTTAAGAGTGCTGTTATTTTGATAGTTTAATCAGAAAATGACTTTAGTCTGAACAATGTGATTTATTTGTGCTATACATTTCGGACAATCTGATCGCACATTTACTTATCAAGTCAATTTATATTAAACCAAAGGATGGGAGGATAAACAGAACAATTAACACAATAGTGGATTAAAATTAAGAAGGATGAGAACACAAACTGGAAGAGTGAAGTAGTTGATCCAAATTTTGGTAAGGAAACAAGTTTATCAAGGTAGATGAAATGTTAGAACAAATTGTGACCCATTTCCATATTATATTTGGCTACATATGATGAGACTCATCTCAAGCATATAAATTGACTTGACAAGTAAAAATGTGTGGTGGGAATGTTCGAAATAAATCACGCAAATAAATCATATTGTTCAAATAAACTTCATCTTCTCAAAAATGGACTAATTCCATTAAATTTTTGAAGTACTGTTATTATCAAGTAACGTATAGTTAGCCTAAAATTCATTGCTGAAGTGACCGGGTGTCTAACAGAATAATAAGATAACACTACTAATGTAATGAGACGGTTGGATTGGGAACGAATAGTAACTGTTCTACTCCAGAACCTGATACTCTACTGAGCTGTGAAAATCAAACAAAGAAGACCAACCCGTAACTTCAAGGGAGACAGTTTTATTTAACAGAACACACATCATTTATATACAGTTTTGCCTCAGAAAATAGTCACTAGTATAAGTATAAGTCACTAGTATAAGTCACTAGTATAAGTAAGTAAAACTTGGACACAGTGTTTATTTGATTTATGAAAAACAGTGATGTAGTATTACTTACTTTATGGCGTTTCGAGCGTAAACTGTTATTCATAGTCATGCCAATGTGAAAGTTGTGTGCTCACATTAATAGGATTATGAGCAATAGTAATTTATGCTTGAAACACCATCAAGTAAATAAAATAGTGTATCACGGTGTGTTATAAATCAAGTAAACGAATCTAATATGCAACAAATTCTCTAGGTCAGTTGGTCAGGTTAAAGATGAAGTTGGCCATCTAACCTGTGAGAGGACAACCAAGTTGGGCATGAGGACGAATTCTCACCGATGGTAGTGGACGATGGGCGCACTACAGAAATCGGTTCGCATATCAGTGAGTACATTACATACACAACAGAGATAATAACTACTTGTATTGAAACCACTTACTAGTCAATTAGTTTGCCATACAAGTCTTTATCTCAGCTACTTGATACTCACAGTCATTTGTTGTTTTTATCAATCAAGGCAAATATGTGGAACCATAAAACTTCAAAAAATAGGTAGATAGCAAAAGGCAACAAAGATACTTACGAGTACTAGACTAATGTATTCATAGAGCAAGTATAAAATATTTTCAAATTGTGGTGTATAAAAACGGATTTCTTGTTACACTAAGTGTGAAATCCATATGCATGGCAGTTTGAGTAGATACTATATATTTATGGTATGTATTATTCTTCAAGTTGTTATCATTGCAGTTTTATGCAGTTCAACTAAGTCGTTACCAGTCAATGCATCCAATAAAGATATGTTGATTCATTCAAACTTACATTAACAGATTTTCCTCACTATTCAGAAATACTGATAGTCTAATCATTGAGTTCTTTACTCAACAATGTCCATTTTCCCACACATAACTAATTTCATGAAGACTGTCTATGGTGATTTAGGATTAAACTTGAAGATCCTGAATTCAATCACATTTCTTATTACTGCTTATTTCTTGAACGACAGGAGTAAGACAAGGCTGAATACTATCACCGATGGTCTTCCTGATTATGGTCGACTGGATCATGCGACAAACCGTGAGCAGCAAGAAGATGGGCACACCCTGACTGGACCAATAAAAAGACCTAAGAAGATTTGCATCTCGCCGATGATTTGTCTAGTGTCACACAAACTCCAAAATTTACAAGCAAAGTCCAACAAGTTGACAGAAGAGGCAGGGCAGTGAAAACTGGACTTCGAGTGAATGTAGAGAAAATGGAGGTGATGAAGGTACCCAACCAACAACAAGAGGCGCCAATCACCATCAACGGGAGAAGCCTAAAGGAAGTAGTCTCTTTCACCTAACCAGGCAAGGCAGCATCTTTTTTTAACTACAGGCGGCACAGGTACAGACGAGGATGTGAAATCAGCCAGGATCGGAAAAGCAAGACAGGGTTTCATTAATCTGAAATCAGTGTGGAGATCTACTGCACTCAACTCAGCACAAAGCATGAACAAGATCCGGATTTTCAACACTAATATCACGTCAGTGCTGCTATATGATTCAGAAACTTGGCGTGTCACAAAAGGCGCTTCCGACAAACTACAGACATACATCACATGAACAGATGTCGCCTACTCTCACTCGATACTCAAAATTGATCAGATGGCCAGAATAATCAGAATAAGCAACAAGGAACTCTACCAACGAATCAACCAAGAACTTATTACCCAGTAAATATGCAGAAGGAAGTGAAGATGGGTTGGACATATACTGAAAAGGCCAACTGGAGCCATCACGTGTCAGGCCAGGTAGTTGAGTGGAATCCAGATGGTAAACGGCGAGTTGAGCGTCGGTGTCAAGGGTATGATATGAGGAAGAAATGAAAGCTTGTGGGCAGTTATGGCGCCAGGTAGAAAAGGCTGCAGAGAACAGAGTGGAATGGAGGCGTGCTATTGAAGCCGTATGTTTCACTAGAAACCTAAGGGAAAAATAATGATCATAATGATAATCTCGAACGAGAGATATACTGTCAGTGTGATTTACACCAAAATTGAACGTATTGTAGGCATTAGGGTTCTCAAGCTTTATTCCTTGTTCACTCATTCTTAAAATCACATCACACTTATCTAGTTAATATTACATTTTCTTGTTTTATTTTCTTATTTTAGAGATTGCATCCAAAATATGTTTTTCAAATTTTATGTGAATCCAGGCAGTGCATTATGTCACGTCCAAATGTTCAAATGGCATCAACTTCAATTTCTCGACAAATTACAGTTGTTGGTGATTTACACGGACAGTTTAGTGATCTTCAAATGATACTGTATAAGGTTAGTAGTGAAAGTCTTGATTATCATCTATTGAAATGATCTGCATTGTTTACTTGAATATTCATCAGTAATTTGTTAAACTAGGAATATGTCCAGCATCAAAAACACTCACTATTACTTAAAGTAGCTTTATTAGTCTATGGAAAGTACCCATAATTCACTTCATTCAATGGAATTATATCTGAAGAATTTTATCACTTAAAACTCATTTATTGGTTGAAAAAATAAAGATAAGTAAACTGTTTTGATTTGGATTGGGCATACATTGCGAAGGCCGACTGGAGCCATCACGTGTCAGGCCAGGTCGTTGAGTGGAATCCAGATGGGAAACAGCGAGTTGAGCGTCGGTGCCAAGGGTAACATAGAGGAGATGATATGAGAAAGAAATGAAAGCTTGTGGGCAGTCATGGCGCCAGGTTGAAAAGACTGCAGAGAACAGAGTGGAATGGAGGCATGCTATTGAAGCCGTATGTTCCACTAGGAACCCAGGAGAAAACAAAATAAGAATAAACTGTTTTGATTAAAATCTAACCTTTTTTTCGCTACGATAGGCTAAAAAGTTATAAAGATGCCCTAAAACTAGGTTTCCTGCCGATTGCCTGTAAACAATTCAAGTCTATGAAAGTGTACTGAGATCAAGTTACAAAATAGTTGAAAGAACTTTGCAGTCTATATAGATTATTAGTGTATTATTAGTTCCTATACTTATCAACACGGATGAGTGAATATCTGGTTGTTCGGATTACTCATCATCAGTATTTGTCTACAGCTATTAACAAGACAACAGAGTACACTTTTTAAAATTACTTGATGCAAAACTGTAAAAAATACAAGAACTTAGTTATCTGCATAATGTGAGTGAAGTATCATTTGAGGTTATTCTTTTCTAATCTACAACTCAGATTTGGCTATTTAAAGTTGAAGATACTAGGATGCAACTTATTACTTCTTTTAGAAGCAATAGTTTGTTCATTTTAGATAAGGCACTCATATGAATGAATAATTTTACAGGAATTTTTATCAACATTAAGCATGGTTTGTATATGAAATAGGCTGTTATGCTTGATCGAGAAATTTGATAATGGTTGGAAAATCACTAAGAATATTTGGATCATACAATAATACAATTATGATATTAGCTGTTTAAAGATCTTGAATTAAATAGTCAATTTGAAGATATTCCTCAAAATCCGTCCACATCTCATCTTTTTCAAAATATGCGGCACAACATCACCAGTTATTTGTTTATTTTCCCAACAACCATATTCTTCAAAGTGTGCATTTTATTTCAATCTAATTTGATTTCTGTTTACCTTTTGTCTTGAGACGTATTAATTTGAAACAATGCACTTTGTGTAATATTCGACTTGGTTATATTCATATGATGTAATTATGTGGCAGTAGTTTTGCAATTCAGTAACACTTTAATAAAATAATACACAATTTGTAGGGATAAAAAAGTTGAACAAGAATCTCATAAGTAGAAAATCACGAAGTGTGTAATATGAAAATCTTATAATAATCTTTTTTCATTATTTGATTCTACTACATCATAAAACAGAATTTGAGATCATCCATGATGACAAATGTTGAATTCTTTGAGATATTGTGTGTTTTAAACCTTCCATTGTTTGTTACATCCAGTTTACATATTATAAATTCTATATCCATTGGATATATGCTAGGCCAAATGAGGTACTCTTTGAAGTGGTGTGTTTTTGGTATATATGTTGTCTTCTTCAATTAAAACATGCAGATAACTTACAACTTTTAGTGACATGAACGCTATCTATCCATTAACAAGGATATACACTTATTATTTAACTAGAAAAAGAAGTTGGTTTAAGCTAAATATAACCAATTTTTTAATATTTTGTAAGAATTTCAATATATTCAGTGTAATTATATTTTAATCCTTCAAATATTATCTTGTCAAAATCTGATAGAAGTTGTAATCAGTGATGTAGTTAGAACTTATTGAATTTTGGAAATAATTTTGTTTTACTGAATTAGTGGACATTTAAAACCATAAATCATAAAAGAATGTATCATGAAAAATTAGTTTTCAATGAGGTTATAAATTACATTGCTTGAAACCTAAATGGTATGACAAGTTGAATTCATTTGAACTAGATGATGATCAGGTCATTTTCAACTCTATAGGTAGGGATGATTGAACAATAAAGTTTCATCTTGAGGTGATGTTGTGCATATGTCCTTGAAAAAGACACATTGCTCATAGTTGGGAATCCATTTAAAGATTAATATTGCTATTTAATAATAAACAGGTACAATAAAAGTTTACTGATAAATTATGTTTATAGATGTTTTCTTCACTCCAAGAATGACACTTTGATGGCTAAACTTGATTCAGGAAATGTATTTAGGCCTAATTTTAAAACTTCTCAAAATCAAATGTAAAAGAGATGATATATAGTTATACTTACAGTGAATCTATGTTTATGAAAGCATAAGCTTAAATAAAGATATAAAACAAAGGTCAACTGAAATTTATATTTCAATGGTTTCCGATGGGTTTGTTGTGTCAAGACGTCTCTTAATAAGAAAATGATATCTGATAAGAAAGCAGTGAAAACCATTAGATTCATCTTGGTAACTCTAAGATAAAATGCACCTAAGACTATACAATGTGTAGGTCAGGCAGCCTGAAAGTTATCTTTAACCCATTGTTGTGTTGACCATACTGTCAAACAAGTAATATTTTGAGTTGTTATTCATCGTAGACTGACATCAGTTGGAGGAACAAAGGAAACCTGGGAGCGCTGGACGGCTGTTTCGTCCTAGTACGGGACTCCTCAGCAGTGTGCACCCACGACCCCACACCAGCAGGGATCGAACCCTTGACCTTCAGGTTCCGCGGCCAGTGCGTTACCATTGAGCCACTGGGTCAGAATCCTTTGTTCCTCCAACTGATGTCAGTCTACGATGAATAACAACTTAAAATATTTCCAAAATCTCCACAACTCCCTCAAAATTTAAGTAATATTTTGGTCGATCCCTACTATCAGTGGACAATAGTGTAGTGTCAACAGAATACTTCTTTGAGCCCTTACTTATTGTAATAATGTAATCATCTTAATAACTTTTTGTATCATTTGGGTGTCTAAGAGGCAATCAAATCAACTATTATTAGACTACTCAACATCATTAAAAAATGTGTATATTGAAACCGATGTTGTTGTGTAACTGTTATCAAAATGACTCGAGCAAACAATATGATTTCATTATCACTTTTTCTTTACTATTCTAATACTTTCGTAATTGTTAAGTACCCAGTTTAGAACAGTTTAAAGTCATACGTCAGTAAGGCTTTATATAAGGCTTACTTTCAAGTTACTTTACAAATAAAGCATAATTAGGATGACTGTAGATAGGTCTGTATGTGTAGTTGTGAAATGCTTGTAATGAAATGTAACCTTTTTCTTATGATTACAATACGGGGGATAATGGTAATGAGTAGAATAAAGATGAATGCTCAAAGACAAAGTAGAGCCGATCTAGTGTTTGAATCTATACAAAATCTAGAAAATATATCTCATGATGAGGATGGCTAATGGCTTCTTTTTCCATATATAAATTTCTACATGTAGGAAATTTCCTCAGTGTCGTTTATAAATTTATCTTTCCTTTACTCTTTTAGAATGGTATGCCAGATGTAACAAATCCATATGTATTCAATGGAGATTTTGTGGATAGAGGTAGAAAATCTGTTGAAACTTTACTCACTATATTATGTCTATTGTTGATTCGACCTACCGCAGTGTTTTTAAATCGTGGTAATCATGAAGATCATTATGTTAACTGTCAGTAAGTGGATTCTTTCATGTAATGTCTAAAGTATGCTTTATAAACTGTTGAATATTTACTAATTCGAGCAAATGTTTTCACTTTTCATATTTTTTAATAGGTTATGACAATGATGACAGTAGTGATATTAGATCAACATATCAGGGAGTAAACATACTGAATTAGTTTGTTTGATAAAGGATAAGGCGTTTAAGTATGAATATTTAGATATGTTTGAAAAAGAGACATGAGCGAAGGGAAGAAGGCTGATTTCAATGTGACTTCATTACATATTGAAATCAGCCAAATAAACACTAAATACCTAAAAGTACTGAATAGCTGTTTCCCGCTTTTCTAACTGCTCGCTAGTGCACACTTATAACCCCTCTAAAGGATTGAACTAAAGATCGTTCGATTCGATTGCCAGAACAGTACTATTCTGATGCTCATTCAAAATCTAATGGTTCACCTTTTTGACAGCTATATAGTCCAAGACATAAACAAAATAGGTGTTCATTGCCTTCCTTGTTTTGCTGATCTCTCAACTGATGTCAATTTATGACAGCAGTACTGGAAATCACTTATGATAAACTGAATACTTTAGTGAAAGGAAGATTATAGCTTCCCTTAAGTATCCATAAGAGTAGGATATGTAGTTGTTAGCAGTGATTGTAACATACAACTAAAGAATCCGGTATGAACGGTGTACTCAAATAAAGAACGTACATGGAAAAGTGTATATAAGATTTTCAGTGATGCAGAGAATCCGTTTTTACCTAAGAGATACTTTAGGCCCAATAAGACAAAAAATCCCCTCTTTCAAACACCATCCGGTGACTGCCAGGTTGAATACATAGCTATCTGACGTCAGATGGGATGTTAAAATGCATAGGGGAAGATTGATAGTCAAATCTTTGTTTATCGAATCAACACTAATAGGAATGACTGAATGCTTGTTCCCGATGCATAAAAAAATCCACCATATATATCACAATGAAGGCGAGAGAATTAGAACTGGGTAGATCATTTCTCAAAGTTGCTCAATTACTTTGATAGGGCTTTGAGCAATAAATTGTGACCCAAATGTATTTTAGTCAGTAATGATGTTTCACTGTGTGATATACCTAATAGGTAAAGTGGAATTCCAATCGATCACAGTGTCTAGACTATTCACCTACCCTGAAGTACCACATTACATTTATACGTTTTAAAGAATGCTAATGTAGGTGAATTTTATCTATTATCTATTATATTGAGACTTTATGTAGGAATTTTCAATTTTACTAAGTTATTCCAAAGGAAAACCGGAACAGATAGCTATGTCACAGTCTAAAGACCTTCAACAGAGAATACGCTAGATTCTGTATGATATAAAATATCAGTAATTCAATTTTACTTCATTAACAGTGTCGTATTCTCCATAATACGGACATCCTGGACTTCATTAACTTTTGTATTTTTAAACTAGGAAAGATAAACTTATTCAGTTCCGCTTTGATTTTGACTGATTTTCTAGCTGATGTATGCTAGTGAATTCATCAAAAAACACTGAAATTGAAAGTATGCCCTTCATTTAAGCAAAAATTTAGTTAGAATAAGTTAACTTGTCTACGCAAATAGTCACTGTATTTCATGTAAACATATTATTAATTAGTTCACTAGTTACTAACCGGTCTTAAGCCCGGGTAAAGAGGGAAGGTTGGGTATAGGGCTAGCAACCCTACCCCGTAAAACCATTCCAACAGCCACAGAAACTTCAGAGCACAAACAAAATATAAAAATGTAAACATATAAATTTATCATATTTCCTTTTTTCCAGATATGGATTTATCAAAGAAATTCAAAAAAAATATAAGGTGAGATTATATTTTCATGATTGTTTATACCGTATTGACTGAATAGAATCACTGTTTTACCTATACTTGTTATCTGAAAAGTCTTACGATATCAGACAGGCTACTTCTGAAGTATTGAATGATAGGCACTGAGAATTCGTTTGTAGTACGGTGTTTGTGGTGCGTACTACTGATAAGGATGGATATAAGTAGCGTATGTTGGAAGTCGACAGAAATCAGAGGTGATTATGAGAGATGGGTAAATATTCTGTCTAGAGAAATGCCAGAGACAATGCGAGGCCATTAAGAGTAAGTCAAGATAGAAGCATAAGAGGGAATGAAACACATTATGCAAATTACTATTTTAATGGAAAGTGTACAATTTACATCAGTACTTTACAAGATGTCATAGTAAACAGTCTGTCCTGTGTCTCAGTCTTATCGTTTCTTAAAATTATGCGGATATAAGTCAAATATTCATGAACAAAGCCTTGTCATTTGTGGAATTAGGAAAATACAGTACTATTGTAGGACAGCTATATATATTTATGTAGTGGAACTTAAATAGGGAATGAATGATTGAATGAGCCATTACCACTTAACACTAGACGCTTATCCAACAACAAACGGCTACTTGACATTATTACCTATAGTGGTGTTATTACAAACAACATTCATATGCTGTAATCATTCTGTTTGGAAATATTGTTTTGGGAGTGAAAATATTACATGCTGATGACTCCATACTATATCCAACATTTTGTCTAGAATCAAGCTGTGATTGTTATTATTAATATTAGTTTAGCTGACTTAATGAACGCAAAAGCTTCACATTAAAGTCAAGAAGGCAGGTAAAGTTTAAATTTTGGTTAATGACTATATGTTTTATGAGTAAGGCTATTTATCGTAGCTGTATAAATGAGTCTTCAACTTCCACTTTTATAGGAAGATATTAAGAGAATTTTATTCCTGGATTTTACATGACTGTAGGTATTAAATACATGCCTAATTTAGAAGTAGTATTCATCATGGACTGACATCAGTTGGGGAACTATCGAAAATCTGGGAGCACTGGACAGCTGTTTCATCCTAACATGGGACTCCTCAGCAGTACGCACCCACGACCCGGCTAGAGATCAAACTCAGGACCTTCAGGTTTCACGGTGAACGCGTTAACCATTCAGCCACTGAGTCGGCTTCCAGTAGTTCACAATTTTTAACTTCTGTCAATTCATGACAGCTGTCCAGTGCTCCCAGATTTTCATTGGTTCCCCAACTGATGTCAGTCCATGATGTATACTACTTCTAAATTAAAAATCCCCATTCATCTCAAAAATACATGCCTAATTAAAATTTGATGATTCATCCATGATTTCTACTCAAATCAGTTCCATTCATGGAGAAAGTGTAATGTGAATTTATGTATTACTTAATGACTACTGGGAAGCATAATATTATCAAAATGAAAATTATGAATGAATTGAAGTATATAAAAAATTCTTCACTATCAAATAGCTTTCATTCTTGATGATAGCAGGAAGTAAATTAAAGGTTTTACCAGCTCAATTTTAAGTATTATCTCATAGGATTGTACATAGTGAATGATGTAAACCACTCGATATAATTATGCCGCTTAAACAAATAATGTAATTCTAAAGAAAAGAATTTTTGAAAACTATACTTGTCCAGGATAGTATCTTATTACTCGTGTTTAATTTGGTTTTTCGATAGCCATTCTAACAGTTTGGCGTATTAATTATCCAGCTGTAAAAAATATTTTTTATAACCTTAGTTGACATGAAGATACTTTTCAGTCATACATTAATTTTTGTATTACATAATAACAAACTTATTTAATCGTGTATTCACACCTCTGTTGAGCAGAAAGATGAACCGAACTAGTACCATGTTTTGTGGGATTCTTAGGAATTTATTACTATGATAACTGGTAGCTTAATATGTATGAATGCACAACTCTTTCATCAGAAATATTGTAGCATATAAAAGTATACTACAATGTTGACCAATACACTTCATCTTCCCTCTACTTGTTAAGTATTTAGTCCAAAAGTCTGTTGTGGTTGTTTAATGATTTCATCATCAATGTATATATTGTTATGTAATTCATTTCCTCACTCTTTGCTCACTATACCACCAAGAATAGAGTGGGCTGCTTAAATCTTGGGCTACCAAAAAACTTTCCACTGATTATACTTCATAAATGTTTTCCCTTCCTGTTTGTAAATAAATAAATAAATGTTTTGTCCTCACATTAGGAACCTGGCATGAGAGAAGCAAGTTTACAGGCAGCATCATATTGATATCTGTTGAAAAATCTACAAGATTTTATACGTCCTAAATGGTACAGGAGGGAGATTATTAAAAATATCAGCAGATACTGCTAGTTATGAAACGAACATGAAAATATCACTTTTTAGCATATATAAAGCATTTTCAGTAATATTCTTTTTCACTATAGGTGACACTAAGGTTACGCAAAAATCCTAATTTCCGTTACAAGCAGTCGACCCTGTTTCACTCATCTTCATAGTGCCACGCTACGCTAGATAAACCTCTAGTAAACCATAAATTCTTATGCTCATAGGTTGAGAAGCCAAAAGAACCAACACCGACGATTTCGAGAACCACTAATTTTTCACATACTCATGTAATCCAAATGAATATCTATGTCCAAGCATTTCCCACTGTTCAAGTGTTATCGTTCATAGCAATATAGATTAGCGCCATGAGAATTAGACGTTGTGGTGCAGAGGAATAAACACTTGATGAACCTCAGACCAATGGCAATGAGTTTTATATACTGTTCACATTAAAGTGTGCAGCATTATCAAGGAGGTATATTCACTGTTAGAAGTACTCAAAGAATCTGTTGTATAGCATTGTTGTGAATATGTTCACTTTAAAGTTAAAAGATAAGTTGATCTCATGGATATTACTGTCTGTCCAGATTTTCGTTGTCATTATGACCGTCCATAAATGTGAGTAGATCGAGGATAGATAAATGTTCCAATGATGAAAGAGTTAAATAAGTCAATGAGATTGGTAATTCTTACTTACTAGACAGTAAATTTCATGGGAGCACAACTTCATCCTTTTGAGAATCGGTAACATATATTCCTCATTTGAGAAATCTTGTTGTCATCATTGAAGGTTATCGTGATGATGTAGGTTTTTGAAGTTTTTAGTAAAATCTTTTGTTCGTTTAGTGTTCAGATTTCTAGATAATTCTGTTTTAATCTTTTAAAAATCTTCTGAAAGTATCATGTACTCTTGCACATTTTTTAAAATATCTTCGAACGTTCGTTTCCCAAGCTAAGAACGAAGCAAAGGAAAAACGTCCTGCCGGTTGCAAATATATTGGTGAATGCTCAAAAATATACAACATTACTATTCCTAAGATACTTATATAGGATTGTGAATTTCTGTGTTGGTTAGTTAAACTACCACCATCAAAAGTACACTCGATTTTGAGTTAATTTCAGAATCGAAAACAGATGCTAATGTAACACTAACTGTCCGTCTCACACTTATGCCTTCAGCAATATTATTATTAACATTACACAGACGTAATAATTATTTCTTTTAAAAATGGTGTACAGAAAGCGAATTTGTTGAAATCTATACTGTATCATACATGTTGTTTGGAATAGAGCGATTATTATTACCAGTGAGATCACTGCAAATATATTTAAAGGTGACTACTGCTGATGAGAATTAAAGCAGTACTATGATGTATCATGGAATATTAGGCTAATACTGAAAAATATTATTTGTCTCATGGTATTTTATCGTCGAATGTTGCCTCTTTTAATTTCCATTTTTTTTTTTGAAAAACAAAACGTCAGTCAGTTGGTGGTATGTTGGTTAAGTGTTTCTCCGAATTTTATCGTTACCTACCGGTGGCTACATTAATTGATCATAAATTTTTGTTTGTCATGGCGGGATTTCAGATCAAACAGATTTAAATACACTTGGAAGCATGAATCGATTTTCTGTAAGTTTAATACTGTTATGCAACATTTATGTTGTTTTATGCAGATTGATTTACAAAAATAAATCCTAAGAAAATGTTTCACGGTTTTGTTTGTTTACTTATGGTATAAAATGAATAATTAGTTTATGAAGAATTAGCTTATTAGATACTCATTTGCGCTTAGGTAGATGGATCAAAATCGAACTCATTCCATAATGTTACCTCAAACTGGGTATATTTTACCTCAACCAGATTTCATTATTGTTTCTCCGTTATCTAGTGGTACCTCTACGTACGATCACCAACCTTTATATCCAGGAACAGTACATTTTCCACTGTCATATGCTGGTTACAGTTATCATCATGCTAATGAAAATAACTTAACCAACTCTCCTGTTCAAAGTGTTTATCCTTTGAACCCACCTTCTGTTGAAGTAATGGAGAAGGACTACCAAGTTGTTACTTATGAAGAACTTGAGAAACTGGTCGTATCGAGTTGGGCTTACTGCTAAATGGGTGTGTTCATGCTCGTAAAACAGCTGGTCGTGAAACCTATTTACTCTTTGCATTCAAATAGCTTCATATTATATCACACAAACTATCATTCTTTTCGTGAAAATTTATGCCGTGATCAAACCTTTCTGAATATGCTTGTTGGTCGACTGATTTTGCCAATCAAGACGCTCATCAAAGCTCCACGGCTATTATTACTTGTCCCTTGAGTTCCTAGTGGAACATAGGGCTTCAGTAGCACACCTCCATTCCAGTCTGTTCTCTGCAATCTTTTGAACATGGCTCCATGACTGCCAACAAGCTTTCATTTCTTCCTCACACCATCTCCTCGGACGCTCAACTCGTCGTTTCCCATCTGGGTTCCACTCGAGGGACTGGCCTAGTGCGTGATGTCCCCGAATGGTCTTCTTAGTGCATGCCCAATCCATCTCCATTTCCTTCTGCATATTTGTTGAGCGATAGGTTCTTGGTTGGTTCTTTCCCAGAGTTCCTAAGCTCTACGGTTAGCAGCTTTGAATACCACTCCTGAGGAGGTGGAGCAAGCATTACTTAGTAGTAAAATTGTTTGTGTAAAATCTGAATTTTTTTACTTACATTCGTCCTGCGGGTATATGCACGTTACAGATGAATTTCGATAGTAGATTAAATGTTCCTGTGATGCATCAAACTTGGTATTTATTCAAATCTTTGGTACAATTATCTTCATTAACTTTATAAATATAGATGGAAGTGATTTTATCTATTTAACCAGCAACATCTCTTTTTCCGTTATCTTTATTGATGAAATATCTGAATAACAAAGTAAAATTTATTTGACGCTAAAAGAAACAATGATACCTTTATAAAGATGACTGAATAAGAAGTGAAATGTGTTCAGCTCTACTTATACTAATTTTCTTAACCCATTATCCTGTAGAGTGAATAATCACTAATGGAACACCTGAAGTTAGGCCTTGGTAGTAGGTTGTTATCCTGTATAGCTAATGAAGTCCAGGTCTATCAATCAAATCCACAATGTAACAATCTACCTAAGTGATATGACACTATTCCATACCTTTGAACGTTAAGTTATGCGCTTCGGATTTTGGACTTTCGTTTTATTTATTTTTATATCATGAATAAAATGGTTTTTTTCTGCAAATACTAACACTTCAAAATTGTTATTTTCCGTCAGAATATATGTAGCTGCATAGTTGGTAGTTAGAATTATCGGAATGGGCCCAGTGTCCATTTACACCTTCATGAAGTAGGCTGTGAACTATATTCTTTGTGTTAGGATCGGTTACGATGATGATGATGATGACAACTCATCAGACATTCGGAGGTTCAAGAAATGTTTTGACTGAAAACCAGTATCCTGAGCATTTCACTGCTACAACTATGAAACTAAAAGCAAATCATCATCCCACTTCTATGGCTCTTAAGAAGATTCTTCTTATGAGGCACACATTTATTGAGAAACCATCTGGTATAGTCACTGAGAAAGACTTTCTATGCTGTCAAACTGAGATTATCTTTCTCCACCCACGCAATGCTTCGATTATGCTTAAGGGATAAGCTAGCTTCCTTGGTCACCTCGATGTATGTTTGTCAATTCACTTGCTCCTATGGTGTAAGCTACATTTGGCAGTACCAAGCTTTCACTTTCTAAACATATACCAGCCTGGTTCCGCATAGGAGAAAGGAGGACACTTCACAGCTCTATTTTAGAACATTTGACCGATTACGACCACCCATTTAATACAGCAGACAACTTCATAGTCACCTTTAGAGTTTGTGGAAATCTCATGAAAGGTGTACGCCTAGAACTTCTTCAAAATGCAGGAGTCATGGCAATTACTATTTTGAAGCCTGAACTCTGTATTCGGAAGAAATTTGTCCAGTTACTTGAGTTACAATCTACACAATCTATGAGAATATTCTTATCTTCAAAAATTGTTTCATTCAGATCTTCTTACACACTGCAATGCTCCACTCCCATAATTCTGATTTCTTTTTACATTCACTGTGTGACATAGTTTAGCTTAGTAACCAAATATTATTTCCGTCTTGATAAGTCGTCTTCTCATTACTACTCCAAACATTACGTAATTCCTTTTTCCGGATATCCTGACTTATAATCAAATATGAACTTCGTTCAGAATATTTCACGAAACATTCCTTTTCTGTTACTATGTGAATAGAATATTTATATGCGATTGTACAGCTTGAGAATGATTTAGCTGAAAAGTGTGACTCTCCACTAGGCGTCTTTTGTTGTATGACTTAATGGGGATTTTTCATCCACTGTTAGCAGATCCATCTGATTTCGCTTCCATAACCTACTGACAGATGGTTGACTGACTAATCATTTGAATCACTGATCCAATATGAAAAGAATAAATAGGAAATCTGTGTGTAACTGTACTGCCAACTTATCACAAATATGATTAACAGACTGGATTTATAAGTAGTCTGCTTGACTATGCGTAGCAGTAAACTATGAGATATTACTTTCGCACCTGCCTCAACTATTATATTGGTTTTGTGAATAAAACTTAGTGTTTATCACTTTAAACGATAGCACTAAAATCCAGTGAGCAAGGTGCACCAAACTATGGAGTCTTATATACTATTCAGTCGACTGTATGGACTCCACTTCTGGCTAAGACCTGACAGATAGACGCAGACTGAAGTTCGTAGCAATATCTAAGTATACATGCAATCAGCGTGTCTAAAAGTAGAATCAATGAATTTTTTTCATCCATATAAATAACGATGATGTGAATGTCCTGATTTGCTTTTGTCAAGGTATTATAAGCTTTATATACAAACAAACAGAGTGTGAAATGCCAGTATGATTGAACCTTCTCGTCTTTGGGTGAAATATGCTTTCATCATAACCAACATACTGGTATTACTACATACAGTATATCGTGGTGAAGTCGGATGTGATGATTATCACAATAAATCAAAATTCCCGTATGCTTATATCATAATTAGTTTACGTTACTGGGAACATCACTCAGTGGGAGGCAGTTACATCCAGCTGAGTTTAAAATAGGACGAAGCACGCTATTAGGATTCTTCTGCTAACCAGTATTCATCATCAGTATCAAATATGAGGATACCGGCAATATTGAGGTATATGCTCAGAAGTCCATTTGTCATCAGAGACCGATCAGTCCGGTCCAGTCAGTGACGGAGATTCCAAGTAATAATATCAAGACTATACTATATCCATCATAGAAGGGATGGGTGTCGTGACTCCGTGGCTTAGTGGACAAACTCTGTCTTTTGAACCGACTGCCCTGGGTTCGACTTTAGGTAGGAACAACGTCAATCTAGGAGGCAGTTACATCCAGCTGACCCTGGATTCCACTGCCAGCCACTAGTCAGCATTATTATCAAATGACTTAATTAATTATTTATGATGAATCATGATCTTCGTTGTTATTATCTGTTTTGTTTAGTTTTTCACGCTTCTTAAACCTGTGGACGAAAGTCCCTTGAACAGTGATGGAGTGAAACAGGTAAGGTAACTATTTGAAAAAGTTATATGAAATGTTTCATTATCTTTTCTCTTTTATTATTGATGATTCCTATGTCATAATAAATGGATGTTTTTATCTTAATAAAATATACATTCCATCACTAATTTACAGCTACTTTTATACAAGCTACTGTACTGAACTCTCGTCATCAGTAAACAAACTGCATGTTTATTTGGCTTGCATGGTATTTAATGGTAAGGTGGATTCATTAAGGATAAACATATTCAAAAGAAATTTCATTCCTCATTAGATTTATTTATTTGATATGCAGCACACAATGAAACAGTAATATTTACTTGATGAAGTTTCCAGCATAAATTGTTATCGCTCGTAATCATATCAATGTAATCACACCACTTTCAACATCTGCTTTTTATAATCCTATCACGACTTATTCTTTGTTTCTATTGATAGTAAAATATTCCTTATTTCTGGTATAGGTATTGCGTCATGTGTTGGATTGGGTGTTGATTCGATGAACAAAGATGAAGTACCCAATCTTTCTCCCCACCTTATTGTATTGGACTTGAGTGCAGCGGTTTTACCCGATCTATTGTGTGGCTGTGTTAACGCCGCCATTGCAATGGCCGAGTTGTTTCTAGATTATTGATATTATTCGGATCTGTCATTCTATATTGACCTAACTTCCTAACTGACCGCGACTGGTTAGTTTCAACTATGTACTTGACCTTGCAGTCATTATGTGCAATTTGATAGATCGGATTATTTTGCTCAATAACATCTGGCGGATTCTCAAATCGACAAAGCTTATCTCTGGGTGAGTTTGTAGGTTTAAATGACGCCCTAATTCTATCTTTGTTGAGGATCCTACGTAAAGTTTCTGATGTTCCTTCCTTATAGAATAACACGGTGGAGACTGTCAACCCCTTTCTACTCGTGTTACTGCTATTACTTCGCTTGTACGTGTTCGTATGAACTTCTTAATAAACCGTAGAGGATAATTACTAGCTATTATCGCTTCTTTTACGTGTTTCAATTCCTTGTTTAAGTCCTTGTACTGACTAGTCAGTTTTCTAGCTCTATCACTTAGACATTTCACTAAACCTCACTTAACTGACATTGGACGAGATTATTTTAAGTCTAGATACCTGTTAGAACGTGTCGGTTTTCTGTTGATGATAGTATGAAAACCATTGTCTGTCCTTCATATTATCCTGCAATTCAACATACGTAATTCTCCTTCTTCATTTTCTGCCTCTTAAGTGAACTAGATTTTGTCTACTACCGAGCTTATATGTGTGAGGAAATTGTCGATGTAATCCGAATTCAACACGGTAAATGTGTCATCCACATATTGCCACCGTATTTTAGGTGCAGGATCAAATGTTTTTATCGCCATTTTTCCCCAGTTATCCGTAAATATATTTCCTACGATTGGGGATATTGATGATCCGATTGCTACTCCTTCTGTTTTTCTATATACTTTTCCTTAAAACTTGAGGACTATAGAGGTAAAGCACAACTGTACGTGTCATTTGATCTCATCAATCGAAATCTTAGTTCAATGAGTAATATAAAGTTCATTTTTGACTTCCTCCAGTGCTATAGTGATTGGTATTTTAGTATAACTTATTGCATTGCATAGCGATAGTGGCGTTAACACAGCCACACAATAGATCGGGTAAAACCGCTGCACTCAAGTCCAATACAATAAGGTGGGGAGAAAGATTGGGTACTTCATCTTTGTTCATCGAATCAACACCCAATCCAACACATGACGCAATACCTATACCAGAAATAAGGAATATTTTACTATCAATAGAAACAAAGAATAAGTCGTGATAGGATTATAAAAAGCAGATGTTGAAAGTGGTGTGATTACATTGATATGATTACGAGCGATAACAATTTATGCTGGAAACTTCATCAAGTAAATATTACTGTTTCATTGTGTGCTGCATATCAAATAAATAAATCTAATATGGGATGAAATTCTGCTGCAATGCCCAAGTTTTACATCTATATTGAGAAAATAAATTTCATTGAATAACTTGATTTATTTTATATCATTTATATTGGAATATAATATATATATATATATATATATATATATATATATATATATATATATATATATATATATATATATATATATATGGCTACTAGTGTTCTCCACAATAGATACTTACTATATATTCAGTTCAAAGTTAGAGTTGGTTAGATGGAGGTAGTTGGCAGGAAGTTCAGAATCTAGATTTAGTGTATTTGGCACTCGTTAGCAAGGTGTATCTGCAACCTCGACGTAATTGATGTTCCATCTGCTACACAAACTCACGTTATCAAGTGTTACAGTTAACGATATCATCACTGAGGTAATCAGGCTACAGTTGACCTTAAAATGATGTATTGAGGTGAAAAACCTTGAAAAGATCATTTGGTTTCTTTTAGTTAGGATCAGAAACCCTCACTGTGAGACAATAATGTAGTGGTCTAAAGTACAAGAGCTGAAATAATATAGAGGGATTTAGGTAAATGAATAGGTGCGACAGGATTCTTTAGAGGTTGTGCAGAAAATTGTTATTCAGCAATAGATATGCGGGTGTCTTTGAATGACATATTTTATTGCCCTTTACTGATGTTTTTAGTCTTTCCGTCAATATGACTCAAACAGATAGTGATTAGTCATACCTATCGCTGGTGAAATTCCATTTTGGCTTTTTATATATCCTGCAAGCCCTCTTCATCACTTTCAAGGTAGACCACAATGAAAGCATGAAAAATATCTATAAAGTTAGATGAATATCACCTTTTCAGTAAACCTTTTGTTTCACTAATAACTGTATGCTTAAAATATAAGGCACTCATTTAATACCTTAGTTAAATGTAGGTAGCTCATAGAGTCAAATACTGCATTCCTTTAGGTCAACAAATACGACAAGTGTCAGTCGTTGGGAGTTAGGTATGCTTGTATTTGAGAACCTGTCACAGGGTTAGAATGTGGTCGGTGAACCCTCAACCAGGCTTTATACCTGACTGGTCTTCTCTAGTTTGTTGTTCTTAAACTTCAGTTAGGCGTGAGATTACTATGGACTTTAGGATCTTGGACAAAATATTAGTCAAACTAATTCCCTTATAGTTGTCACAAGAAGACATCTACCCCTTCTTATAGACTGAGATGATCAGTGAAGTACACCAGCCTGGCAGCATTACCTCTAATTCCGAAACAATATCTAGTACCTCCAGTACTTTAACTAGCCGTTTCCTACTTCTATTCATAAAAACATCAGGTAGAAAATTGTCAGGTTCTGCTGCTATGCATTGCTTCAGGTTCGATAAAACTTTCTTAATTTCTTTAACCATAATTCATTTGTCTCGCAGCTAATGAACCCACATATTTTGAGTTCAAAAGATGGGGATTATTAATTTTTAAACAAAAATGAAATCAACGATCTTGAATAAATGGATAGATTTCGTTACCGTGATCAGATTGTGTTGAAGGTATATCTTGACGTGTCTTAAATTCAACAGTTCTTAGCATGGTTCTAATGATATTGTTGCTAAATTTGATACCTCTCAGTTTCCTTATCGTCTTCAGTACTAATGACTACCGACTGAAATCCATTCATAATATGGGTACATACATTTGTTAAGATGTGTTATTATGTCTTTAAAGAATCTTCTTCACCGATCACTGATAACTTCATGATCATACAGTTGTTGTATCTGATCATCGTTATAATCAGCCATTAAATGGGGTTTTTATGTTATCATTACTATCTGAAACTTTGTGTGCATGTGTCATTGAGTGAATGTAGACTGTTTTTTGTCAACACAAAGTATTACCTGAAACTGATCAGATATTATGTTCAGTTAACTGAGGTAGACATAAAGTGCTGCATTAATACACTTTTTAAAGAAACTGCATAACATAAAAACCGAATACCTTCAGTTACTTATTATCATAAAATCTTTATTTTGTCGACATATAACACACTTCGTTTAAACTTCAAAAGTTATTTATTTTGTATCATAATCATTAAAATCAATTCATGATAATATTATATATAAATGACAGTTTAGTGATAGTAATACTAATCTATACAGTTAAAGCCTTATCTCACTGTCTTAAAAAGAGATCAAATTTTGGAGTGGAATCACCTAACAGTTTAAAGATACTGTCTCAAAAAAAATACATTTCTGAGCAAAAGGTTAAGTTAAGCAGTATGATGGACTATGATTGGTTAACTGAAGGCTTCGGTAACGTGACCTGATATGTGTATTCACATAATCCAAGAGTATGTTAACTATTTTCTGCTATATAACAACGGAGATATTAAATAAAAACGGCATCTAAAGGATCCATATTTTTTTGATGGATCACTGTACACTAGTTAAAGATCTTATTGTCTTAGAGGGAGTAGAAAATTTACGAATGGTGTTTTAAAAACTGTTTTGTGTATGTGTAATAACTCATTAACACAGTACGTCAAAAGTTGTAGAAAAATACGGAAATTACTATTTATTAATATATTTGTAACGGCATATTGAATAACGCTTTGGCGTTTGTTGTGATGGGTAGGAGGTTCGAGTCTCAGTGGCGACAACATCACTCACTGGGGTGCAGGTACATCTAACTAACGACTACCAAATAGGACGAAACACGCTTTCTGGATTCGTTTGCTAGCCACAACTAGACAAATTACCATAAATGCGGAAATGCTTTCATGATATTTATCCTGATAATGAGTGCGGCTTGCATAATTGCTAAAACATGTCTATCAAGTCTAATAACTCGAATGGTTCTGAAATGTTTGAGAGCGTTTGTAGCTCACGTAGATGATCCCGTCAGTGGGTTGCAACTAATGAACTGGTTAAGAAGGGACATTTTCAACTCTTGTTCATCATCGTCTACCAAGATGTCAACTTATTTAGCTTAGTGACCACGCTGAACACTTGATCCGATGAATCCAGTCAGTCCTGAAAACTATGCAGTATGACAACAGTAGTAGACAATAAATGTATATAGATGTTTCGTAAATAATCAACTTTGTTCTCATACACTATGGTGTTTCAGACCTGTAGGTGTTCATATGAGTACGTAATTACTCAGTCACTAGTTTCAAATAAAGTGGTCAACACTTATAACTTTACTCATTTTTGACATATTATGGTTATCATCCAGTGTCATACATGAGCATCTATCGTTTTTGCATTCTTGTTTGAATGTAGCGGTAACGATTCTTATCAGAATTTAAAATATCACTCTGAAAGCCTAAACTAATTTCATTAAGAACCCCAGAGACTGACTTATTTACAAAAACGGTGAATGCCTTGGTTTTTATAGTTTTGCATGCAGTTACTTGATCAATATTAAAAAATATTTACTGTCTAGTACTTGTTTTTCTTTCTTTTTTCTGTAATCAAGTATCAAGACCTACTTTGGAGTGATCCACAGAGTCAATCAGGATTACTAATGAATGAAAGACGTGGTTTAGGCTGCTCATTTGGTCCAGATATTACTGAGAATTTCTTAGGAAGGCATAATTTAAGTCTACTTATACGATCACATGAATGTAAACCTGAAGGATTTCAATGGTCACATTGCAAAAAGTTGTTAACTGTATTCTCAGCATCAAATTATTATACAGATGGTTCAAATCGTGGTGCATATGCAAGAATTTCATACGATGGTTCTGTACAAATAATACAATATGTAACTGGAGGCAATAAAAAATTGAAAACGATGCGACAAAAGTATGCAGACTTTTTAACTTGTTTATTTCTAAAATATCCTTCTTGTTAATTTATTCATTCTAGTGAATTCGGTAGCTCAGGTGTCCAACAGATAATATTTCAGTGTTCAGTTAGAGAGGTTTAGTCTTTCATTTTCTATAAAATGCAGTACAAGTACACTCAGCTTAGTGATTTATATAACAAGGAAATATGTATATATTGTTTCTCTGAACATCATCATAAAGAGACTAATATGCTCACAATCTTCAAGATTTTAATAAAAGATTTTCCTATTAGTAATGATGATTTTACATGTTCATAGGAAATTCTATTTAGTGTTATATTGACCTTGCTCACTAAAAAAGGAGTTCAGGACTCATATTTTGTCCTATTTCTGACTCGTCAGATGGGTGTACCTGGCCCGTAGTGAGTGATGTTGTTCCCACCAAGGTTCGAATTTAGTGTCCACTTCAAACGCCAGAGCATTATCCACTAAGGCATTGGGCACGATAGCCACCTTTTTTGCAACGAATGTTACAATAAATGCTAAAAAGCATTTATAATCATGATATTTCAGAATTTTCGGTGTTTATTATAGGAAGCAGTTTATTTATTTATGGCTTAATCATGCTCAGGGAAGTGGATCCTGTAACCCCTAAATAAATTCCATGGTAGTTCTACACCTTCAAGTTAGTTAAAGTATTTAATCATTTTATATGTCCATTCACAATAATTAAGATTTACATCTAAAATGTATTGCCTTAACAGGAGATAAATAGATCAACCTGGCAATCTTATAAGACTCTGGTACTTCTAAACTGAATGGTTTTTTCAAGGTACTGCTTAGAAAACATCTGAGCTACAGGGATAGTAACAAGAATTTTTGATGTCGTTTTAAACTGTATGCAATCTTAGAGCATTCTGTTCTAGCATACAATCACTGATAGATGCTAGTTATCTTCATTCGCGCATAAAAAGGTCTCATTCCTGAATACTATTCAGTTGCACAGTATGTAACCAAGTGCTGATAATTAGCGGTGAAATCAAAATGGGATATTTCGCTACATTATGAATTCTTCAGTTGGGCAAAGATATATGCATCCACTTCACTAATTGTGAATGGAATAAAATGTGAGTTTTACTTCAAATTTCCCTCCTTTAAATCATTAAGCAAATAGTAACATAATAAAACAGAAAACAGTGCTGAAACATCCATTGAGGAAGCTAATATGTTATATGGCGTCTGCTAGTTTTATTTCATCAAACAGAACAGGAAATAGTGAATTTAAGCGATGAATATAATATTGAAGTAAACCATCAGTTGTGAATTTCTTAAATATACATGAATAGTACGATAATAAATCTTGAAATTAATTAGATGAGTTAGAGTGAACACTGAACTTACCAATTGATTGGTTGAAAATAATTACCATAATCTTGCCTGCTGATATTCTTTACATCATAGTATTGTTTAGAAATATGTATTGCTTATAAGTATTCCGGATTTAAATTCTTTTGAATGGTTACAAACATTTGCGCTTTTTTATATATTAAGACTTTCGCAGTCCAATTCTATCGACATCTACAACAAAGTATAATAAGAAATGCATTAAACATAAACTACTTACTATAGTGGTCACCAGTAAAATATGTAATTGAATTGATGACGGGTTATTGTTTCACCTGTGCCTATTCCGCTTGTTAATTATTTGTAAAAATAAGTCAGTTCACAGTGTAAATAGAATCAAGTCTTCACAACCATGAGTGATATCAAACTGAATGGGTAGTTAAAAAGGCTCTTGATCTAGGCTACAGAGTAGTACTATGAAATATCTCATAAGTAAATTATCTTTTCGTACAAGTAAAATAACACGGTGGATGAAGCTTTTCGATCCAATCTAACAAGATACACAGAAAATGTATTTCTCCATAAACACATGAACTACAGTAAAAAAATTAATTTTGAGGGAGTTGTGAGGATTTGGAAATATTTCAAGTTGTTATTCATCGTAGACTGACATCAGTTGGAGGAACAAAGGAAACCTGGGAGCAATGTACAGCTGTTTTGTCCTAGTATGGGACTCCTCAGCAGTGCGCACTCACGACCCCGCCAGAGATCGAACCCGTGAAACAGCTGTCCAGTGCTCACAGGTTTCACTTTGTCCCTACAACTGATATCAGTCTACGATGAATAACAACTTGAAGTAAAAAAGTGTCCTGTTAACTATTCACTTACTGAAGTTAAAACATTATTATGGAATATATATTTTTTAAATGCATTACAGTCTGTACTTTCAAGAATGAATTCGCTTGATTAAAGTTGATGAAAAAGTTACCATAGTAAATTTAATGGTTTCAAGTATCATTTCTGGGAAAGAATATTCAACTAACCAGTTAAAACAGCAAAGATGGAATTAGTCACTAATCTGTTTCAAAAGTGCATTGGCTAATGAGTTTCTAGTAGTTATAGTCAATGGAGGCAAATCAGTCAATGATATATTTTCTTTCAGAATAAAAACTTACAGTAATATTATCGAAGAACTTCAGCAATTAGGAAATTTGTTTTATATGGAGGCTTAAAAGTAAATCAATGTTTTCCATTTTTTTTCCCTTTCTTCTTTCATAACAAACCATAGGATAAGTTGGCAGAAGAATCAGCTTTGACTGATCTCAAACGAAAAATATCTACTTATTCAAAAGAGTTAAGAAAAGAGTTTGAATTACTGGATCCCACAAATACTGGTGAGCTTCATTCTTAATATAAGAGTAAACCTTCAGCATTGTAGTAGATTGTAATTCCATTGAAGTTGATTTATTTAATATATCAAACAGTAGATTACATTAAGAACATAATTTATTGTCCATAGTTATCTTGTTATGAATAAATGTTAATGATCAAGACTTTCATCTAAATATCAAGATAAGGTAATTTAAATACATTTCGTCACGTTGTCAAGCCAGTTAAATTAAAAGAAATTGTTAATCTTGATTCACCGACTGTGTTCATCCCTTATTCCTTAATAATTGTGACTAGTTACTCTTCATGAATCAAGTAGTGTGGTGGTTTATTAAAATTAGTCTTTTTCTGAACAGCTCAATTTCAGCATCTGTAACTGTAATTATATATGTATGGATTCGAGTGATAACAGATTATACGAGTTTTATCCTGTCGAATAACACTCATAAACACTATATGTACATTACACAGATCTCCTTGGTATCTACAGTTAACTCTGCAGTGTCTTGAGAACTTTCCACCTTCTAATATTATTTTTACGATAAAAGTGATAGTATATATTGTTTTCTTTGTTAAAACATAACTTTGCTACAATATAAGCAAAGAAACATTCACTATGCAAAATAATAAAACGTCCTAGGGTGATATGGAGATCATGTGAGAAAAAAAGAAAGCTTGTGGGCGGTCGTGGTGCCAGGTTGAAAAGACTTCAGAGAACAGAGTGGAATGGAGGCGTGCTAATGAAGCCCTATGTTCTATCAGGAACCCAATGGAAAAAATAATAATAATAATAGGAAACATAAAGTAGAAGAATAAAAACAAAAGTAAAAATGGGTTGTCAAACAAGCAGTCTCGTAGATACATCTGAAGAAGCATTAATTACTTTCATTTTGCTTCTCAATAATAGGAGAAAGAAAGCTGTAGTATAACCACCACCTTGAGCCATATGTACTAACCTTTAGTGCTTCTTAGTTTCGCAATCTTTCGGACCCTATCCAATGACTCACGTGGCATCTACAGATGCAAACTCAAAGAAATTATTCATCATCTAAAAATGACACTTCTAGCATTGTCCACCTTATCGATTCTTCCAACCTATCCTACGTCAAACAAACAGTGAGCGATGTAGGAAACGTTGAGATGACATTCGTAACATATGTGTACAACCACGAATAAAGTGTGACAGAATGAACGCACTCAATGAATGACGACTTTATTGTCATCCAAACGCACACCAATTCACCTCAGAATAATTTAAAAGGTGTTTTCACTTGGTGTGATTAGTCCTGAGTAGAGATCGATCATAGATTTCGAGTACGAAAACATTGTCGTTTACAGTGCGACAACTTACAGGCTACTCAGATAACACTCAGTCAGTTAGGGATGGTGATCTGTAATTATGATATGTGCCATAGGCCTTCAAGGTTGAAAGTGCTTCTGCAAGACTGGCAGGTGCCTATATCTGCACTCATTCTTTGTGATTGGAAGTTGTTAAAAATGTTCATATCTTCGTGGTTTCGCCAGTGCTGATGAAGATATGACTAAATTTTAACTAGAATTACAACTATGAAATAATTTTCTGTCCCAAAATATATACTAAGCAGAAATATACAAATTAAAAACAGATTACTTACAAATAAATCCAAATAAACTTATATATCAGTAACATTTTTCTATGAGATAGTCCTTGCATCAACCGTCGATGTAAAATGACAACAACACAGACGGTGATAGTTAAGTGCATGCAATACAGCAGTCGAAGTGAGCCATTCTAGTCAGTAACAATGATGGACTTATCAGTACTGCGTAACGAACCAAGTTACCACACCTCACATTAGTTCGTCTCAATAAATGTCAGGTTGACGAATGATGGAGACATAAAGAAGACAAATAGTACTGAAAGTATGTAGAACATCATAGGGAGAGAGATTAGAACAATAAAGAAATGCGACATGGTGACTAAGATGTAGACATCTAAAGCCTCCAACTTCCGATTTCAGTTGTCCCATGGATCCCAACCTGGAGGTGGGACATTGTTCGACGAGTAGACGTTAACAAGACATGTTTTCCACATGTCATCCAGTGATTATCCTCTTACCTCTTCTTCTTATACTTGACTTCCATGTTACTAGTGTGGTGGTTCCAGGGCACATGGGCAGTGGTATGAATGTGGTGATGACAGAACACTTACAGCTTTCTAATAATGTCTACTTCTGATGACAATGTTTCGAAGCTATATGACAGGATACAGGGAACTGCTAGCCAGTACACTGATCTCTTAGTTGAACAATCAGATATTTCACAGACAAAAGGGGGAATAAGCGTTAAACAAGTCTATCTCAACCTGAAACGTTTCTTTGCTAATAGATCATACATATCAGGTATATAACTACTTTCGCGTCAAAGTGAGCTAAACCACACACAAACCCCCAAATTTAATTGATCCAGTGCTCATTGATGATTAGCTTCAAGGGGTGATTCCTGAAGTCCCAATGAGAAGTCGTGACCAGTGGGGCAAAACTGATGGTTGTGGAAACGAATACTCAACGATGACATTGGGTGGGGGTCACATTATGTCACGAACTTACAGAAATTGGAAATACGGACCACTGGATTCTGACTTACTGGCTCAGTGGTTAGTTGCTGGCCACGGAACCTGAAAGTACCGGTTTCGACCCTTGGGGGTGGGGCCACGGATGCTCACTGCTGAAGAGTCCCAAGCCAGGACGAAACAGCTGTCCAGTAATCCCAGGTTTCCAAGTTCCCTCCAACTGACGTCAATCCATGATGAGTATGAACCTAAGAAATCTCCAAATCCCCACAACCCTCAATATAATAGTGATAGAAATGATTATTATTATAGTTTCATTCAGAACATCACATATAGTTCAGTGTGGAAATTTCAGCTTGGAATATTTCAACAAATTAGCTTTCCGTAAAAGAAATAATTAGTATGTCTGCATAGTGCATAAGTGTGAAACGCGCATCTAGTGTTGCATTAGCATGTGTTCTCAATTCCGAAGTTAACACAAAACCGAGTGTAATTTTGATGGTGGTACTTCAGTCAGCCAGCCAGCCAGCACAGAAATCCACAATTCGATACAGGTATCCTAGGAACAGTGATGTGGTGTATTTTTGAGCATTTACAAATCCACTTAAAACCGGCGGGACGTTTTTTTTACGTTTTTGTCTTAGCTTAAAAAAAGAAAGTTTGAAAACATTTTAAAAACATGCAAGAGTACATGATGTGTCCAGAAGACATGTAAAGAATTGAGACAGACTGAAAGGGAAGAATTTAATGGAATATGATCGATGGAAAGTTTTTTGGTAGCCCAAAATTTAAGCAGGCCGCTTCAAAACACTAATTGAAGGGAAATTTCAAGTGGTACATAAAAATATTATGAAGTTTAAGTTGTGTCATCATGACATTGTTGTCAATTAAGGTCAAGTGGTTACCTGTTCATGTTTCTCACAATTACTGATTAAAATTGCAAAGCTACGCATCATCAAAGAACAGAGGATAGAATGGCAGTCATTTTTCTCTAACTCAACTTCATCGACATTGAAAAAGCCTTCAACAGCGTCGACCAAAAGGTAATTTGGCAGTTGCTTCAACACTACGGAGTGCCACAAGTCTTTATCAACATCATTCAGCAGCTATATGAAAGGGCCACATGCCAAGCGGTCCACAATGGAAAGCTCAGTGACGCCTTCGAAGTGTAGACAGGGAATAGAAGTAAGATAAGGCTGCCTAATACCACCAATGATCTTCCTGATTGTGGTCGACTGGACCATGCAGCAAACAGTGAGGAGTGAGATGGGCATTCGCTGAACCGATGAAATGAGCATAGAAGAAGATTTGGATTTCGCCGATGATGATTTATGTCTAATGTCTTGTCGCACAAACGTGATGTACAGGCGAAAACTAAAAAATTGATAGAAGAAGTGAGGTAGCGAACATGGGACTTCAAGTGAATGTAGAGAAGACGGAGGTGATGAAGATACTCAGCCAACAACACCATCAACAACAAGAGGCACCAATCACCATCAACGGGAGAAACATAAAGGCAGTAGTCTCTTTCACTAACACCTACTTAGGCTGCATCTTTTCAACTACAGGCGGTGGTGGCACAGACGAGGGTGTCAAAGCCAGAATCAGGAAAGAAAGACAGGCTTTCATTAATCTGAAATCATTGTGGAGATCTACTGCACTCAGCATAAAGCGTGAACAACATCCGGATTTTCAACACCAATGTCACGTCAGTGGTGCTATATGGTTCAGAAAGTTGGTGTGTCACAAAAAGCACTTCCAACAAATTACAGACATACATCACATGAACAGATGTCGCCTACTATCACTCGATATTGAAGATCGGATGGCTAGAATAATCAGAATAAGCAACAAAGAACTCTAGGAACGAACCAACCAAGAACCTATCACCCAACAGATATGCAGAAGGAAGTGGAGATGGATAGTATGGGACATACACTTAGTAAGCCGATTGGGGACATCGTGAGCCAGGCCAGGCCCTCAAGTGGAATACAAATGAGGAACGATGAGTTAGGCGTCCGAGGAGAGTGTGACATATAGGAGATTGTGTGAGGAAGGAATGAAAGCTTGTGGGCAGTCGTGGTGCCGGGTTGAAGAGACTTCAGAGAAGAGAGTAGAATGGAGACGTGCTACTGAAGCCCTGTGTTTCATTAGGAACCCAACGGAAAAATGATAATAATAATGATTAAAATATGAGCAGAATAACTCCAACAAAAGAAATCGTGCATGGAGCAATCAAAAATATTCACTCAAGGTTACATGATATTTGAAGTGTAGTAATGTTAAAATTTTCGCAGACAATTGCTTATTTCACACCGATCTCATACTCTGGCATAGAAATCAGGAGCGCATTACGACTATGTTAATAAGATGTACTTTCTTACTTGGTATGGAAATAATGAAAACACACAAATAGCTAACTTCTAGAAATTAGTTTATTGATATATGTTGAGAATGACACTAGGTAATGAGAAGCTATATAATACTTGTGAAGATTAGGAACAATTAAATAAGTTAAAGCAGGTGTGAGAAACAAACGGAACTGTATAATAAAGGAACTAGCCTGTTTGATGAATTCAGGATCAGGGCTGTACTTGTACATGCATATATTTTTACTGAACATGTGCCTTTAATACTAACTAAGACTTTTATAATGAATCACTTATACTCAGATGCCTTATTGAGTGACGTCTTTACTCCACTTTGAAGGATTTTTTTAAGGTATGATGGGAAATCTGAATCCATAAGATGTTTCATAACGGAAGTGAACTTTGAATAACATTCTCGGTCGGTTCGAATGCTGTTAATGATTACAGTATACGAACTAGCTTGTAGTGAAGGTGATACGGGAATGGATTATAAAACAGATGATATTATTTAGTTTGAAGCTGAGCAAAACATCCATTTATTCGTACTTAATATTCCATATATTTATTTTTGTTATTCTGTTCACTTAGATCTAGATCTTAGGTTACATTAAATGTCAGCTATTGTCAGTCTGAAGTCAATCTATTTAAGAGTAGTACATGCATTCTGAGATAATTTGTTCTATTCTAGTCCTTCGAAAATATTTATTTTCGAGAAAATGAAAGTCATAAGAACCATGAGATGACTTGCACATATTTATTCTCTGAAGAAGAGATGAAATTTGATAAATTTATTACTCAAAGTGGTTTAGACTCAACAAGTATGTTTCTTTAAAAAAAACATTTAGCCGATGTTTGACTTATCTAATTATATCAGGTCAAAGTTTGATGCTCAAGTCTAAAATAAGAAAGAATGCTTACAATTTTACTTCACTTATACATATTTGTTCATAGATATTGATTTCATGCTCACATCAAAGAAGTTAGTTCAAACACTGATGAATTAGTTCTCAGTGTAATGTAAACATTTTGTTAAGACATAAAAACTTACTGATCGGGCAAAACATCAACCATTTTACCTAAATACCTTTACTTGAATGTCAAGAAAAAGTAAGGTATTGTAATGCAATCAGAGATGCAGTAAATGTACCCCTACTCCTCATCCAGCAACCTACTACTACTACTACTACTACTATAATATTGGTCAACTGTGAGAAAATGTGTGGAGTGACAATACCACAAAGTGGACTGAAAACCATGAAGAATTGATAAAGGGTCTCAAATGGGTACATAGTAGCTTTCCAATGGTTGATTGTTTATAGTAGTCCTGTGATGGATTTCAGTTCCTGAATAAAAGAGTTAAATCAGTTTGGAAATTTCCTTCTTGTCTTTGATTCAGATGGTTAGTATTGGCAAAGTTTGTGTAATAAAGATTGTACAGTTCAACTGCAGACTTGCTTACTTTATTTCTACGTCACAGAACAACAGCTGTTTCATCAGATAGTAATATAAATCACCTGGAGTACTAAGAACTGATTTTGTATTATGAATATGCATAAACAGTTGTATCATTTACATCTCAGGCGGTGTATCTCACAAAGAAATCATCTGGTTTCATGTATCACAGCTTCAGAATTGAGTTGACCTGGATAATTTAGCTAGATGAACTGAATCATTCTTAGTTAGTCACTGATGAGCTTCCTCTTAAAAGTGTTCGATTTGACTACTGATTAGCACGAGTGTTCAACAACAAATCATATCTATCAGTAGAATGTATTTATCCTAAAAATAGTTAAGTTTTATTAATATTTTTTAATATTTTTAGGGAAAATTTCTAAACTTGAATGGTGTAAAACAATGGAGAAAGTATTAGATTTAAAATTACCATGGAGTACACTTCAACCACGCCTAGTTGTTGCTTCAAAAACGCAAAATCAAGTTGAATATTTAACAACATTTGAAAAGCTCTCAATACACAATAATGCATCAAATGTAAGTTGTTTCACTGTCTAATTTATCATTTGAAGTATATTATATATCTCCTGTACCACTTTCAAAGAGCCTCTTAACACAACTCCAATCTTTGCTCTTTCTTCAAATATCAATTTATACACTAGTGAAATTTATTTATTGTTATACATTTGAATTCTGAAGTTTATGCTTGTCTGTAGATGAGTGCAAGAGTTAGGTACTCTTACAAGATGGTATTCAAAACGAACAAACTTAGGGTAGTTGTATCGTTTCACTATCCTTAGATAGTAAATATAAAGAAAAATTTATGCAATAACACTGGATGAGAACTAATCTGACTGTTCTCTCGATTCAAGATAACTCCTTCTTTCTTTGTAGTTAAACTTATCCGTTCGCTTCAGACAGTGTTTATTGGTGCTTTTTTTAAATCACTTAGAGTATAAATGCAGTTGGTTGATGTATGTTTTGAAACAGAATAAAATGCGGTAACTAGCCTCAAATTTCCAACAGAAACAAAAGAAGCAGTTGATTAGTGGCTCAACCTAGAGTGAATTTAAACCAAGAGGTTCACGACTACGCTTCATGTATGACCTTCAAGAAATCCATAAGTCAAGTGTTCCTTCGAGACTCATTTGTTCATTATAAGTTCACCTTGTCATAAATCGGCTAGTTGGTCAGCAAAAAAACTGGAACCTATCAGAAAAATTCTCACAAAATCACAGCTTGAAGGATACATTCCAGTTCCGTTAAGAATTGGGTAGATTAGATATCTCAGATAAATTCATGGTATCATTTGATGTTTCCTCATTGTTTACAAACATACCAGAGGATGAAACGATAGACATAATCTATCAACAGTCTGATCTACTACAGTTGCAGAAAACAGAACTCAAACAATTACTGTTCCTCCGTGCGAAAGGTGTTCAGTCCCAGTTTAGTAATCGACTGTACTGGGAAACCGGTGGAGTGGCTAGGGGTTCACCACTAGAACCATCCTAGCTGATATATTCGTGGCTCGTCTTGAGTGAACAAGTCCGAATTCTGCAATCAAGGAAACGATATATTACTGAAAGTATGTCGATAATACTTTCGATGTTTGTGATGACATAATCGTGCGTCAAAGCTGTTTCATACCTATAGTCAAGCTCATCCAAAAATTAATTTCACAATAAGACACGAAAATGAGGTAAGATTCAGTTTTTGGATCTAAGTTTAGGACGGAGATGTGATGGTACAGTTGAGAAAACTACCCACAGGAAAGACATGGAGACTGGTCAATACCTTTTTTCACTACAATAGTTTCTATTCTGTCAGCTATAAGCCTGGTTCAGTCAGGAAGCTATTCACTAGAATAAAAACGCTGTGCCCTAAAGATAAACAAGAAGAAGAATTCGGGATAATTGAGAAAGCTTTTATGAAGACTGGATGTCCGCAGAAATTCATCATGAAGCGTAAAAAAGAATTTATTGAAGGACCAAAATATTCAGCTATCAAGACAAAGCCTGTTTTCTTTCGCATAGCATTCAAACGCAATGAGACGTCTGAATGAATAGATGGAAGAATGAAAGCTGCACTGAGAAGGAGCTTCTCTGCTGCCAGATTGATCCCAGTTTACTACACATTATGCTCAATAACACAGTCGAAAGTAGATAAATACCCATCTCACGTCATCTGCAACTTCGTATATCGATTCGCCTGTGCTTGTAGAAGCAAATACTTAAGATGGACCGAATGAAGGGCCCCTACTTGATTTATGAGCATATTCCGAAAATCTGTGTCTAAATAGTAGCAAAGTCTTTAAGATAATCAACAAATAGAAAACGCCATATTTATTACGGTTTGTGGAAGCTCTCACTATCACACACTTTCAACCTGACCTATGTACTCAGAAGAAGACCGTAATTAACCTTTCTTTCCCTTAGTAACTGTACATAGTTTTTGAGTGTAAATGTATATAGTCTTCCCTTTTCTTTCGATCGGATCATCTCTTCATTAATTACTTACTGATTATTAATCACTAAACGACTTTCAAGTTTTTCATGTTATTACGAAACCCGTTAGCTCTTGAATAGTGCCTCCTTTTGCTATCCCCCACTCCACAGCTCAAGAGTTTTCTATCTCAACAGATATGAAGTGCCATCAATTTTGACTGGGATATGTAACTATTAATCTTGTGTTATCTTGACCCACTACCATATTGTTAATCCTGGATTTCAAATCTCCATTTATTTCTGCGTGTTTAAAGTATGTTGTGTTATTATTACTACTGATAATTCATTTCAGTTGTAGGCTGTTTGCAGCTGATGAAAGGCCGTGAAATAAAATGAGCTCAATTTATTCTACAAATGTCTTTGTCCTTGCATTGTTTAAGTTTGTGAAAGGAACTAAATGTATGACAAACTCTTAATTCGTCCGACGTTTTTAGTTGCAAATAAAGCTGTTTTAAACTTGCATTTCATCTGGTGGTCGTTATAAGTGCAATGTAGGCTGCGCACTTCGACCTATTTGGGACTCATCAGCCGGATTTACTTGCATTCTAGTAAGTGGTGGTTTTCCCACTGAGACTAGGATCTAATGCGTTATCTATTACACGACAACTGCTTTAAACTGCATCAAGAAGCGTTGACAATTATTCTAAGTTTCTGGCTTGTTCAATCTTGATGTTGTCAAATCTAGAAGTTGCTACTGAGCAGTACCATAAAGGAGGTATAGATCCGGCAATTGGATAGGAACTCTAAGTGTCAGTTCAGTCATCGAAATAATTTTTCAGAGTAAATATTCGTGTTGTTTGTAAATGAAGACATTTGGTCACCATATGCATACCTCAGGAGTGTTAGATAAAATATACAACATGTTGTCAACAGAAACCTTTAGGCTTTAGGGATGAGTTCCACACATTTCCCGTGTTATGTATCAGGATCATAAATTTAATTTAGTAAACAAAGAATATTCTTTGTAATAGATTCCTGGAATAGGCATTTTGCCATTTTAATTAGTTTTATATGAAGAAAATCCTGTAATTAATTGAAACGTACTCTCCACTGCAGTAAGATTTTCCATATCATTAGCATGAATTCATTCGCATGCTAGATGGTTGCTAAGTTTTCTCTATAAATGAAAAAGGCTGTACGATAACCTAGGGTACATCGTAACGTCAAAAATATGTACATCACACAGGGGTTTATATATATTTACAATGGTCTTGGGTAACAAGTTGGCAGAAGAGGCAGGGTAGCGAAGACGGAAATTCAGGTGAACGTAGAGAAGACAGAAGTGATGAAGATAACCAACAACAACAACAGGCACCAATCACCATCAACGAGAGGAACCTAAAGGAAGTTATCCCTTTCACCGACATCTTCTCAGACAGCATCGTCTCAACTACAGGTGGTGGCGACACAGATGAAGATGCCAAAGCCGGGATTGGAAAAACGGCAAGATACGCCTCCCTTCATTATTCTGAATTCAGTATGGAGATCTACCGCACTAAACTGCATTCCGCTGCACTCAGCATGAAGCGTGAATAACATCCGAATTTTCAACACTGATACCAGTCAAGTAAGTCAGTGCTTCTATACGATGGTTCAAAGACTTGGTGCATTACGTAAAGCATTTTAAACAAACTGCAGACATACATAGTCAGCAGCTGCAACTTACGCTCACTCGATACTCAAGATTGATCAGATGGCCAGAATAATCAGAATAAGCAACAAGGAACTCTAGGAACGAACCAACCAACAACCTACCACCCAACACATATGCAGAAGGAAGTGGAGATGGATTGGGCATACACTGAGTAAGCGGATTGGGGATATCATGAGCCAGGTAAGGCTAGGCCAGGTCGTCGAATGGAACTCAAAGGGGAAACGATGAGTTGGGTATCCAAGAAGAGGGTGACATGGAGGAGATTGTGTGAGGAAGGAATGAAGGCTTGTGGGCAGTCGCGGAGCGAGGTTCAAAAAACTGCAGAGAAGAGAGTGGAATGAAGGCGTGCTAGTGAAACTTTATGTTCCACTAGGAACCCAAGGAACAAATAATATAATAATAATACTGATTATAATGGGTATTTCCAGGCTTTTCTAGATTTGAGTTACCTATTGATTTTCATCCCTTCAACCAATCTGATATATACATACTAGTTCAAGTGGTTTCTTCCATAATTTCGGTGCAACATGATTGGTTGTAGAATGCTTCACGGATTCAGGGCTTTTTATGAAGATTGAAACAGGCAACAATGTATAAAATCCATTTTGCAGTAAAACTCACACACTACCTGAATATACTAAACAAAATGATTTAATTTGTGGCATCACAAACCAGAATATCACATAATGTGAATTATTTTCATATTGAATGATTAGTGCTTGCATTGAATTCATCTTACAATGTCATGGTTGTAACAGTGATTTTCCAAAGAACCAGAGGTATACTTTTCTTGATATTTTTTTGATATAATACTCAATTTATTTATTTGTCATAAACTATTTTAATTCTAAGTTGTTTAATGCTATGCAGATGCCACCTTCGGTTACTGAAGAAATGTACAAATATCGTGATGTACTTGAAGGGATATTTCGAGCAATGGACAAAGATAACTCAGGTGAGTGAACAGTGCATCTCATGTTAGCAAAGTAACACAAGAGATCAGGAAATATATGTGTTCCAAGCATACTCCTTTTCAGAACCAGTGCATGTTCCTTTTACTATGGAAATATACGAATGGATTGGTGATTTATTTGTTGATTTGTAAGGATTCATCTGTTCGGAAGTAGTTTCAACCTTAGAGTGAGATAAGTTGAAAAGATTGTTGCAAACCTTGTAAGAGTTTGGAGCTGTTTCGTCGTAGTTAGGGAATTTTCAGCACTATGCACCCAGGACTCTGTGAGGATCCAGTGATTCACTGATTCCTATTTCTGTCACTGCAATATAACCAGACTAATGTCATACATGAATATCCGCGTTAATTCCATCTGGATTGACAACGTAGGTCATAACTTCTAGTTAGGAACTTGAAAAATGCTTCGTAAAGCAAGTCACCGATGATTGTAATTCACTTGTTAACTTGTAGTTACTTATTAGTTTTAAGGTTGTTTTAATCATGATTATTTTTTATTTGTTCCTTGGGTTCCTAGTGGAACATAAGGTTTCACTAGCACGCCTTCATTCCACTCTCTTCTCTGCAGTTTTTTGAACCTCGCTCCGCGACTGCCCACAAGCCTTCATTCCTTCCTCACACAATCTCCTCCATGTCACCCTCTTCTTGGATACCCAACTCATCGTTTCCCCTTTGAGTTCCATTCGACGACCTGGCCTAGCCTTACCTGGCTCATGATATCCCCAATCCGCTTACTCAGTGTATGCCCAATCCATCTCCACTTCCTTCTGCATATGTGTTGGGTGGTAGGTTGTTGGTTGGTTCGTTCCTAGAGTTCCTTGTTGCTTATTCTGATTATTCTGGCCATCTGATCAATCTTGAGTATCGAGTGAGCGTAAGTTGCAGCTGCTGACTATGTATGTCTGCAGTTTGTTTAAAATGCTTTTCGTGGCGCGCCAAACTGTTTTAATCACTGAGTGATATTATTTGGGAAAAGTCACCATCTCAGGATAGCTGTTACGCCTTGTTCAGAAGTCTCAAACTAGAATGAAACAGAGGCCCAATGCTCTGACGTTTTAAGCAGTTCTTCAGTGGATGTCATCGTTTGATGAGAGTAAAATTCGAAGAAACTTTGTAGGTATCGAATGCTTCATGTCACCTTGCAGCTGACATGTTACTAACTTTTCTATACAATATGTGTAACCAAAATTGAAAATAAATAATCTAGACTAGTAATAGTTGTTGAAAGGTAAGAAAACATAATGTATACACTGACAATTTTTAAGGAGTTTAAAGTGATTCGAGTAAGTACGTAGACTTGTTTCATAGCATCATCAATCATTATTACTACTACTAGACAAGACAACTTTCTGACTTCAAAACAAAGCAAAGATTCTGACAGATAATTAGAAAATTCTTCTACTTGAAGAGTTTTACTCACCTGAAGTCTTTTACCTGCATTTATTATCCGGATTTACACTAGCCGAAAAGTAAATCAATAGGTCCAAATAAGATTATAATATAAATTCTGACTGAAATGCTTGAGTAATCATCATTCCAACTGCCAAATACTTTCTAAAGGCACATTGATTTTAAGTATATTCATTTAACAGTCGTTTTCAAACATTTTATATACATAAAAAGAAGGCAAAATCCATTGAAAGTTAACATGATTTGTAAAATTCTAATTTTACTTTTTATAGATTTTAAACTCAAGAGTAAAGAGTTGATTTAACCGTTTACCATTGCATAGCGGCAGTTTTCTCTTCAAAAATTTGAAATAGTTAATCCATTTTATGAATTTAGATAGTGTAATTAGAGAATGAAGTTTATCTGAACAATGTGATGTATTTGTGAAATATATTTCGAAACCCATTTCTTATTACCTCAACTTTCCTGAGGGAACTATTATTTCTGTTTACCAACAAAGTTCATTTCACATTTGAAGGTGAACGCTTCCCACAAATTGATGGTGAAGCTATAGGTAGTCCTCTAGGACCATTACTATCTGATATTTATATGTCATATATCGAAAATGTAAATGGTGATCTCATCGGTAAAGTTTATTTTTACAAGAGATACACAGGTGACATGTTAGTGATTTGTGAGAGGTATGAGGATATGACTTGTCTACTAAAAAGATTAAACGCCACACAAATTCCCATCAGTCTAAACTTGTGAGAAAAAGAATAGTGATCACCTGCCATCCTTAGATATACCACTGAATCGACTAGAAGATGGTTCAATTAGATAGTCAGTTTACAGAAAGCCTACATGGACAGGAAGGATAATATCTGAAATTTCACAGCTGTTGTGCAATCCAATACAAGCGTGGCCTAGTAAAATGCCTGTTTAATAGAATCTATTTTGTCTGTACATCAGATACGATGGATGAAGGTTTCAAATTACTGACCAAAACACTCATGGAAAACGGATATCCGTTGAAGTTTATAAACCGTTGTAGAGGCCAGGTAGCACTGAAATTAATTCTACATACTGCTTCCAGGACAAGCGTCCATATCACCATGTCATACATACGGGAGTTGAATGGTATAATTTTGAAAACACAAGCTTCACCACAAATGTAAACACTGCATCAATGATTACGTCACATCCCATAGTGTCTACTAGTTAACATGTGTGTGTGCGCGTGCTCACACATACACAGGGGAAGTAATCGAACCATGCAGTTGAGGCTGAGAGAACATGTATCTAAATGATTTCAAAAACAAATGGAAATTGAAACCTTGATAAATGCCGGTGGGAGACGACCCTCTTCATCTATAGCTAAACATATCATAGAAACAAGACAGAAAATAAATGGTCAAATAGCTTTGAAGTCTTATACAGAAACAGTCAGGGATGTGTACTGAGATTTTCGGAAACCATAACCATACACTGATTGAAACCATCTTTATGATCACAAAAACAATTTGTCCTTACACTACACCTACCTTGGTAAACTTTGTTTTTCCTACGAGGATTAAGATCACCTATATCACTCTTCCAGTTTTTATTCTCAACCTTCTTAATTTCAATATTTTATTACCTTAAGTGTTGTATTTGTCCTCCTACTCTTCGGTTTAATATAAATTGACCAGTTTGTTCGAAATGTGTATTGAGCAAATACATCAGTCACATTGTTCAAATAAACTTTGTCTTCTAGTTGTCATGAAGGAATAAGGTGAGCTAATGAAGTTGCCTACGTTGTTAGATTGACAGGCTTTCAACGCGTAAGCTACTTTCTGCAACCCCAACTCAGAAATAACTAGGGTAATCAAGTAGTAAGCCAATCACATATTTTTTCTTCACTGACGGTTAACTTATATGAGTAAGTTGGAATATCAGCAGGATATTACTTCCTCTTCTCAGTTTACTCTGCAAAGATATCAGAAACTGATAATGTACTGATGAATAGGTTAATCCACTTATGGAAATAATATTTTATACGTGTATCACAATATAAAGTGAATTATAGTTGGAACTTTTTAATATAACTGGTGTTTGGAAGGCATTTTTGCTTTCATTAAATATGTGTTAAACATCATTCCGAAGGCATATGTGTACAAATGTATGTATACTGGAACTGGAATACTGATAATTATTTTTATAAAATTGCAGAAGGTATTCTCCTGTTAGCAGTAGATGATGGGATGGTACAAAGAGTAGATGAAAATTCTTAATGTGTATTCTGCTATTTTTCATATGACCAACTCAGAAACCTACTTTGTAACTATTTATACGGTGAAAGTTTTTTCCATGTATTAGCACCTTACTTATTCACCGAATCCCAGCTGAAATTTCTGCAGTAATACAACTCGAAATGTATTGATTTCCGTTAGCGTACTTCAACGTACTGTTACGTTTCATTTCACCTAGTATCAATAATGTTTATTCAAGATGGAACATGCCATTGACCTGAGGTGGAATCTCAGAACACTTTGTTGTTGCTAAAGTAAACAATCGAACAACAGCGTGTAACGTTAGAAGAGGATAATTTCATAAGTCCAGTGACAAAACAAATAAAAGGACTTTTTATCATATAGCGGTAAAAATGAGATGGGAGTATTATCATCATATACCTATTAAACTGTGATATTTTAATAGATTTTATGTGGAGACGAGGCTATTTTAAGTTAAACATTTCCGAGTAACAAGTATCGGACTATGTCATCAATAATCACTAAGTTGATTTGAGTGTCCACAGATCTCGGTAGTTCTTCTTCACTTCAACACCACATATTTCTCTTCACATTTTCCTTGTTAATGCGATATGATTTCTCAAACTGAACGTGTACAAAGTATTCCATCAATGTTTTGTATATCAGACATATCAAATTAAACGGAGAATATTTGATAAGTTCCTATCAGGTTCTACAAGTGTAAAGTGGAAGTGCACAGCGTAAAAACGATACACATTTGGAGACGAATACACTTTCAAAATGGAATGATATTGAGGGACTGTAGGGAAATCGATTTTTCATACTACTACTACTACTGACCAACTTGAGTAGTTAGAAATCACTCAGACCGATCTATAGACTTGTGTACCCAGATTGGAGTGATCTGGTCACTGGATGGTCAATTTGTTTTTTTGGGGTCGAGACTATCAGTGATGTACCGAAACATATTAAGCTGATACAGATGAATTAGTTTGCATCCCCTAAATCTTGTTAGTTGACTTACATGGATGAATAGATTTATTAGAAATGAAGTCAGTGATCTTGTTGCAGGTGAGATGTGTCATTATTCTAGTGAAAATTGTTAAGAAAATAGTATTGATATTTAGAAATTGGTGTCTTTCAATATTTATGTGCACCTAATATGAATTTGTTTTGTAGAAATTTATAAAAACAAGGTTGATATTTCCTAACTTTATCTCCAACTAACAGGTAATTATGAATAAATACATGTAAAGTGAGAAGAAATGAAGTGGATATAAATTGGAGATTAAGCTAACCATGAATTTTATTGTGATCTCCTTCTCTAGTTTGACTAATTTATCAAGAAAAGCTGATGAAATAGATACACCTGGTATTTTCCCAGTGTTGTTTTGCTTAACTTTGATTTAGAGACATTCAAGTGAATTTTAGACAGGTATAACAAAGCCAATAAACTAAATTTACAGAATTTAGTTGAATCTACTGTCTTATTGAATAACGTTTCGGATATATACATGTTTCTGTGTTGGTTTTACTCTTCAAGATGCGTACAAAGTGAGCACACTTGATTATTAGTCTTCGATGAACAATCATCATATAGAATTTGATAACCGCATCTATTACCCTTTGATGATTAACTTGTGAACATATTTTATCCACATAGACAATCAGTTGTGATATGAATTATAAAGTCTATAGATTGAGTAATGTGTGCTATGCTTGCACTCTGTCAGATAGGGATATGAGTTGCTTCAATGTTACTCATAGATCATACAGTTTAGTTACAACAAGGAAGAAACTTCGATCAAGGAGATCATCATGACAACCAGTTTCTAGCAGTTAGTTAGCCATTAAAACATTCTTCAAACAACGTTGAGTATCTACTTTATATCTTTTTATTGTTATTATCAATATGGAATATAATAACTAATCATTGATTGTTTATCTTCATTTCCTATTTCTATTCTAGGTCGTATATCATTGAATGAATTTAAGCATGCGTGTTTACGTTTACCTAATTGGACAGAGATCAATGAAAAAATTGTCATGGATATGGCACGTTCAATTGATATTAATAAGGATGGTTTAATTGATTTCAATGAATTTCTTGAAACATTTCGATTAGTTGAATCAGATCATAATCATCATGAATCATTGACTAATCCACAAATAGATGAATAAATAAAAACAATTCATATCCATTTCTCTTACGTCTTTTTTTCTTTCTCATAGGAGAAATAGAGAGAGAGAGGGAGAGAGAGATTTCCTATTTATTTTATAATATCTCTAGATTAGAGATGTTGCAATTTCACTAATGTCTCTGTTGTAATCTATCAAAGACAATCAGTGGACAGTTGAAACAATGAAAAGAATTCTATTCCATTGAAAATCCCCTGAACGTAAATCATCTTCATTAGATACAGAACATAGAAATTCTCTTATGGGATTCAAATAATATCACTTTCAATAAAGGCCATTTTTACAGAGAGAAAGTTTTCTACAGGTGAATTATTTTTAGTTTAAATCCTTTTTTTATTCTTTTATTGTATAGCCACACCTACTGAGCAAACATTTAACCCCGCCTATGTATCACTTCTCCTCCTCCTCCTCCTTATTTTTCTCATTTATTTGTTTGTCATTTATTGTACTTTCTAACCAAAATATTTTCATTTTTCCTTTTATCGGTTATTCTATGATAATGAGTTGATTTACAAAATTGATTTCAAGCAGGGTTTTCTTTCTTATTCACAATTGATTAACCTTTTCATTTCTACTGAAAGAAAAAAGGCTGTGAAGATCCACATCACTATAACTACCATCCTTATTGTTATTATCATGTCAAAAGTGTGTGTGTGTGTGATGTTTCAGAAAATGTTAAGCTGAGAGGTGTCATTTTGATTGATTGTATACACTTTGTAGATAATATTTTTATCCTTAGCTGTTTTAATTGGGATAACAACTAGAAGTCCGGAAGTTTTGACTGATTGTCTAATTGATAATCTTATAGACAATTGAAAATATTCGCCTATTTTGTTATGTAGAAATAATGATCGTTTAGTGTTACTAAGTTCTCTGTGTTTACAGTTCATCAACATAACTAGGTGAGTAGTATAGTAATGATGGGCAGTGGCTAGCAGTGGAATCCAGGATGCGCATTTCGTCCTATTTGGGACTCGCCAGCTAGATGTACCTGTCTCTCAGTCAGTGATGCTGTTCCCACCGGGACTCGGAGTCGGGGCGATTGCTTCAAAAGCCAGAGCGTTACCCAGTACACCACCGAACCACGATAGCCACTTCTTGTGCGACGAGTATAGGTTTAGTGTTATTGCTTGTATTACACCGTCGTTGATTGGACCGAGTTAATCAGTCTCTGCTGGCATATGGGCTCCTGTGCGGAGGCCTCGATATTGCCTATTTTTTAACTATGTATAGTAATGATGGGCAGTGGCTAGCAGTGGAATCCAGGTTGTGCATTTCGTCCTATTCGGGGCTCATCAGTTGAATAATGTTGAGGAATATGTGAAAGTGTCTAGGTAGACAAAACAACTCAGTCAATGAGTCTATCATTTTGCATTGATTGACTCGCTTGAGAAGTGTGTAATATATAACTAGTCACTGCATGTACCAGGATATACTAAGTTGAATGTAGTTACGTTGGAAAAAGTTTAAAAGTAACCGAACTATAATATTAATGCTAATCAATGAAGTAAATATATATTGATTATAACAGTATGAGGATGTCCAAACGTGTTCATTGATTGGTGGAATGCTTAGAATCAATGAATAGAGACTGTAGAGTACAATTCATATTGATCAGATCTGCCAAGGATGCACAGGGAGAACAAAAAATAAAACTGTTTTCTTTTCATTCAGGAATTCACATAACCATAAGAATTACAAGCAGTTCAATTCAATTGAATCATAAACACAAAAAGAAATGGATGGATTTACAATAGCCTCTTCTTGGTAATGCTTAAAACAACAGTTAGTAAGATAACAATATCCGTGACATTTCTATAAAAATCCATTAATCCATCATATGCGTTCAAGTATTTAAGTCATTCTAAAGGCTTCTCTGGTAGCATTTGAAGAAACAATAAAATCTATTTTTTTCTATTTTCAAAAATGCAGCTAGTTAGTAATGTAATGCAATGTAAGTGTAAAGTGGTACCTAAACTCTTTTTAAAAGCTGTTACTATGCACTGGTTAAGTTGAACAAAAATCAGTCAAACATACTGTCTTCTCTTCTTAGTTCTTCTTTACACTCCCAAAACAACATTCATAGACTTCGATATGTTTTATCAGATTTACTTTCAAGTGTCTACAACACCATGAGAAAGGAATTACTGTCATCTTAGTGTTGGGTTTTCAATAACATATACTACTATTAGATATCTGAGTAATGGATAACTATTTTTTTTCACAAAGAGAATGCGAAGGGAACATAAATAGTTAAATCAACTCTTCTGAAAGGTTATTTGAAGTTTTTATTACACCTAAGAAGCTTATAACATTATCTTGTCGTAATTACATGATGAGAAATAATTTTATTTATTTAGATAATACTCAACTCATACTCAGGAGTATGATCCTTGAACATTGAAGGCATTTTTTTAGACGTTCAAAACAACATTCCACGAAGAATAAGAAGAATAGTATACTGATTTTTGTGAGGGTAGTGTGTGTGTGTGTGTAATGCAGTGTAAAATGATACGAAGCCAAGTAGCTTGAGTGATTGACTTGCAGTAATACCATCGCATTGAAACTATGAAGATTAGCACTGAGTATAGATCATTATTAATTAACAGATTACTAGTTTTGAGATTGCTTTAACCCATCATATAACCACCCAAAAAGAAAAATAGTACAGCATGATTACAGTATTTTGTTTGTCAATAAAATGCTTCTTTAATAAGCTGTAACTGACAGATCTCTCTTCAAGTTGAACCATTCTTAGCTGTTTAACCTATTGAAATAGTCCCATTGATGAATGAAAAGCTACTGAAAAGCAATTTAACAAAGAAAATTCCCTTTGCTATACAGGGCTGAATTGTCCGACTTCAATTGGCAGATGGGCTTCTGTGCGTATGCCTCGATTTCGACGAACCATATTCTGAAGCTGTGCATTTGTGTTTATAGCTACAACAAAAATATATATCCATCAGTGGGTAACGAGTCAACAAAGGGTTATCAAAAGTTGTCAATGGAGCCTCAAAGGGACTATCACTAGAAGATCAATACAGAGTCATCGGAAACTGTTTACAGGATTACAATGTAATGCCTGAAAAGTCTATACAAGGGGATTAATTAATAATCTCTGAATTAACAGGACAGGTTCTAAGAGTGGAATGGTCTTATTGAAATCAACATATATAGAGTAAGGTAAGGAGGTGAAAATAATTTTCATTGATAAAATGAAATAAACAAACAAAAAATAAATTTTTTAAGGCGAATATGACCAAGGTGGAATCAGAGATTTGGTTTACCTTTTTGAATGCAGAGACTTGGGTTGAACTGATGATTTTCCATTGTTTCAGGGTGGCGAATCTGCATTACCTTCTAAATGTTTCATTTGACCTTATAAATGACTTTGAAGGAAGATTTTGATAGAACAGATTGATCGGAGTGAAACAGATGCTCAATAACTGAATTGTTAGTTGTTTTGCACTCTCCACTTAACATGCAAACAGGCTAGTGTTTGGAGATGAGTTTGTATAGTACACTTTAAGCAACCTACGTAATCAGCTTCACAAAAGTAAGTGAATTAATAACTATAAACACGAATGTACAGTTTTTGAAAATAAATCGTTAAAACGAAAATTTTCTTTTTTTTAATGGTCTTTTGTTAACCAAACCTGTAGTGCATCTTCTGAACTAAAAGAACATAAATAATCAAGGTATAACGAGTGAAATATACAATTTACGTGTAACAGATATTTGTTGAGCGTTGTCGAAAACGTTATATATTTCTTATCTTTTTAGTAGATGTTAGTTGGATGGAAGTGATCGATAGGAAGCCCCGGACCTCAGTTTCGTGTATATTGGCATTTATCAGGAAGGCGTATCTGCAACCTTAAGGGAACAGATGTCTTACCTGAGATTCGAACCTTCGTTACTCAGTTTTGTAGCCAGATACGTTACCGCTGAGATATTCAGGCCGCAACTCCTGTAGGACTGGATTAGATACACTGACTGACCACTGGATATATAGAGCCAAGGAATGGTGATTAGGGTGAAATGTGTGCCATAGTTTAGGCGAAATGAAGTCTAACTTACTGCATAGAACAACTATTTCACCAAATAGGATAGGCGAAATCTGAATTTAGGAGACAAATTTGTTTTTAAAGTCACCTTGCTATGAAACTGAAGTTAGAAATTGAAGGGAAACACCTACTAGTTATATAGTTGATTGCAGTTAAAAATTTCGGATTTAGTAGGCCACCATCAGCGTTTATCACTACGTTATATATATTGTGAATAAATGGGCTATTCACTGGCTTGCTATTTAAACATGATATTCATATGGAATACTATATTTGATTGTAGCCACATAAAGCATTAGATGACTAATGTAACACATCACCTCCTCTGAAGATGATAAGCAGACTATTCGATATTTATGGTGATTTTGAGACGATGGGTTGCTAGTTTTGCTACAGACTTTATTCTGTGGTTTCGGCTTTGTTAATCATGTTATTTCAGTGTTGACACATGAGGTTGAAATCAACAAATGAGGATTTTATGTCGCACAGTGGTAATTGAAACGACTTACCTAGCTAAAATGATGCCTTATTCGCATACGGCTTAATGTCTTTGTCGATTTTCTAATTATTCACATGATTACACTTATTGACATATATGGGGTAACATGTTCTTCTCAGACATTACCTTACAGCTGCATGTAATTGTAGACATCTTTCAAGGAATTTAAATTTCTGATGAAGATAAGGTATGTAAATTGCTAATAAGATAGTGAGCGAATCTGGAAGCACTGGACAGCCGTTTCGTTTTAGTATGGGACTCCTCAGCAGTGCGCACCCCTGACTGCGCCAGGGCTCGAACCCGGGGCCTTCAGGTTCCGCAGTAAGCACGTTACCATTGAACCACTGGGTTGAAATCTAGTGTTTGACTTGTTCAGGGGACAGTTAATCAATGACGGCATTGGATAGAGGTCACAGTAT